CTATTTGTTTGGTACTATGTTTGTTATTGATGGGGACAATTCCCCTCTATGAAGCCAGTAGAAGTCAGACTTAGCCTTGCCCATGTTACCATAGCTCCTTTTACAATACCTTTAAATATTTTATTTTAAAAGATGGCATAAGTATACATACATTTGCAGATAATATTTCTACATTTATATCTATGTATTCTGTAAATTGTTGTTGTTGTTGTTTACCATGGAGTCGGAACTGACCCACAGCTGATCTTCCAGTGGGTTTTCCAAGACAATAAATCTCACAAGAGGAAGAAGATTGCCCAGCCTTCTCCCAGGGAGAAGTTGGTGAATTTGAACCACATGCCTTTGGGATTGCAGTGCAGGAGCAAAATTACATAAACCACTTAATCATGACCAAACACCCTGAGGAGATGAGTTACTGGTTCTGGGTCCTTGGGACCATAGATCTGGGGGCCATCACAGTCAACTGGCATAACACAATGCACAAAGGCAATGCTTACATCCTACTTAGTGAATAATGAGTGGAATCTTACAAATTTGGAAGCAGTCATCTAAGGTCTTGCTATTGGACTTTCCCTGTCTGAAAAAAGGAAGCAAAGCAGAGATGTAACAGAAACAGCTCAAAGAATTAATAACCATATGAACTTCAGCATCTACAGCCCTGAGACCAGAAGAACTGGATGGTGCTTGACTACCACTGTTAACTACTTTAAAAGGGATCAGAGTAGAAGGTCCGAGATAGAATGGGCCAAAAATGTGGAACAAAATTTAAAAAAAGACCCAAAACCCATAAAAATGGCCCATCTTGCCTGAGGGATCTCTAAGACCATGGCTTTTAATAACACTTTGAAGTTAGAGCAAAACTCACCACTGTGATTTAATTTTCAGCCAAACTAGCCTAAAAGGTGAATAATAAAGAATACCAGTGAGACACTCCCTAGAATAACCAACCACATTAGGTCAAACAGGCAGCATCTTCCCAGAGATAGAGTTTGGGAGGTAGAAGGGCTAGGTCAGTATTCATGGAAATGAGAACAACAGGAAGGGAGTAGTAAGTGTGGGGTTATATTGTGGATACTTTAATTAATGTTATAAAACAAAATGTGTATGAATGGTTTAATAAAAAGCCAAAATTTTTAGTCAAATCACAATTAAAAAAGGAGTAGCTTCACTGTACAGTATATTCATTAAACCACTTTGTCAATAATATTTTAACATTCCTCTTTTTATCAGTTGCCATCCAATCAATTTCAACTCAAAGTAAACCCCATGTGTGTAATAATAACAAGGCCTTAATTCAATTAGAAAAATAATTCATGCTGAGAAAGGTAGAGGACTAGAGAAAGAGAAGAAGGCCCAATAAGATGGATTGATACAGTGACTGTAACAATGGCTTGCCCATAGCAGAGGTTGTGAGGGAGGCACAGAACAGGGCAGGGTTCAGTTGTGTTGTTTATAGGGTTGCTAAGAACCGTAGTCAATCCAATCCATCTAACAACAACAGCAATTCTGACTGAAGGTGAAAAAATTATTTGGTGGGCACCAATAAGTTTCCTAGAGTATATCAAAAGGTTCCATTTTTTTTTTGTACTTTACGTAAGGGATGAGAATAGTGGTGAACCACAAGGCTATGGTACCTAATGGTCTAGAAAGATTGAGTGATGAGAGAGAGAGCAGTTGTGCCAATAAGCTGCTGAATAATTTCCCTAGATCACATTTTTCTGGGACAGATAACTTAGGAAGAATGTCCATGTTTTGTGGTTACTTGTGTAGTAACAAGTGAGAGGCTGTTACTATAACTAATATTTTTTTTATCTTTAGTTTTCCCCTAAACTGATTTTATTCCTGCTGTATTAATTATAAAGTAAATTAATTGTTAAGTAATATATAGCTTCTAAGAATAGGAGTCATAGAATTTTAGTTAAACAGAAATAAACACAATGCCTTAGTCCAGTCTCTCCAGTAAAATGTGGGCTTCTTAAAACATCAAAAACATTTAGATGCACATCCATGTTTATTTCTGTGTTATTCACAATAGCAAAGAGGTAGAAGCAACCAAAAAAAATGTCCATCAAAAAAATGAGTGGATAGAGAAATGATGGTATAGTCACACAATGGAATACTACACAGCACTGAAAAACAAGGAACTGATAAACTATTACCCAACATGGGTGACCTTTGAGAATATTATGTTGAGTGGAATATATCAGTCACAAAAGGACAAATATACTGCATACACACACCACTGTTTTAAAACAGGACTGACATGAGGTTCGGGGAAAACTAAGAAGGGATATATAATGACGACTACATTGGAACAGATGAAGAAAAGAACTGTTTAAAAGGAATGTATGATTAGTCATTATTGTATGTCAACAATCCAGAATAAGAGATGCATAGCAAAATGAACTGGAAAGCTTGGGGTGGGGGGAAGGAAGGAAATTATGCAACAATGAATGAGTATTTTTTCTTTTAAAGTGAACATGGAGGGGATGTGGAGGAAAATGTGCAAAATGAATGAATGAAAATCTAATTTTTCTGTAAACTTTCATTAAAACCACAATTTTTAAAGAAAGAAGGAAAAATATCTAGAGATTCTCCGGTTAGAAATCAACTGGTTAAATGAGCTTTGTGGACATTTTCCATTTCTGTTCTCCTTAGACTTTCAATGGTCTATCTCTACACACACATAAAAGCTGTCCTTAAAACTGGAGGCAGAAATTTCTACAGAGATGTTCCTGTCCCAAGGCAGGCGTCCCAGTGGAGAAGTACTATACATTTACTACTGTTTACTCTCCATCATCTGATTTGTAAGTCCTCATGTGAGCTGGAATACACAGTATACAAGGCAAAGTAGACAAACATTCTTGAAAGTAAAATAAAAAATTACTTAGACATCATTAATACATATTCACTTGAGGGAAAAAGACAACTACCGTACTTGCCTGTGGATAAACATGTCAGCATGGGATACAGTTGCACTGGGCAAATATTTACTTGCACTTTTAGATAAAAAAAGAATCTTTATTCCTCTATCTTTAACTCACTGAAATGAATGCTTGCTACTTTAACAAAGTATTCCTTGTATACAGTCATAAAAATTTCTTTTTCATAACATCTTTTCCTGTCAATGGGATCCATGTCAGATGGATCTTGGCCAAAGGCAAAAAGTACCAGAGGAATGTCTATCTGTGTTTCATTGACTATGCAAAGGCATTTGACTGTGTGGATTACAACAAATTGTGGCTGACTCTGAGAAGAATGGGAACCCCAGAACACTTGATTGTGTTCATGCGAAACCTATACTCAGATCAGAAAGCAGTTGTCATAACAGCAAGGAAACACTGCACAGTTCAAAATCAGGAAAGGAGTACCTCAGTACCTTAGTAGTCATATGACTGTAGGGATTTTTTATACTTTGCACATTTAGGACAGGTAAAGGAGCTGCTGACACACTAGAACTCCAAATTTCAGATTTAGGATAAGGATATTTCCTTATTCCCTATTATTTTAGGGAAAACAGTATTTTCCCATGGCAAGACTGGGCCTCCCGAAGGGGAGGAGGCTCTACGGTGGCCAGGGCAGGAGGCCTATTTCAGTCGTTGCATGCAGGTTGGGCCATTGCTGAGTGGTCCTCTTCCCACCCTTCACTGAGCGTGAATGTGGCCATCAGAGCAGAGGTGTGCTCTCGAAGTTCAGCTCAAAGTTTATCATGACTAGTCACAGTGCTGGTGAAGCCACAGTAATTGGTCAATCCTCTCACTGAGGGGACCTCCCTGGCTCTGTTCTCAGGCTCTAGCCTCTCCACAGAGGCCTGCAAGCTCTAGCACTGGTTCTATGTAAGATCTTTCACTCTAGTACACCCATTTCTCTTGGGATTAGGCACACTTTTAAGAATGTTGATCTCTGCATATATGATTTCTGCACAAAGTAATTGAGATGCTCAAGGTCCAATGACAGTAGAAGAAGCCAAGTCATGTATAAGCTAGCCTTTAAATATGGCCAAATAAATACACGGTGTTTAACAGTATCACTGACCAAATATGTTGTTCCTCCCCTGGGGAAAGCAAAAGCAGGACAGAAATAACATCTAAAAAAGGAATAGTTTGAGAAGTGGGAAGTAAGTGTTTTCCCATAAACTCATTCTGTTAGCAAGTCCTTCAACTTTTATAGCAGGTAAGTGTAATGTGGAGCCACAAAAGCTGGATTCAAACCCACACTCTTCCCTGAGAAACTATAGCAGCACCCTTAGTGATTCCTGAATGAGGATGTCAGATGTTAATTTCTTGAAGGTTGCCTACCAAATGCAATTCTAGCTGAGTTAACTGAGAAATTTCATGTCATATACTAACACAGTGCATGAAATACCAACAGCTACATGGATCTTTTAAAGGTAATTTGGATTCTTTCTTTTATTTATTTAATATTTTCCCCCTTGTTGTGTACCGTCGAATCAGATCTGACTGGCACAGAAGGTGATTGCCCCTCCTTCTCCAGCAGAGCAGCTGGTGAGTTTGAACCATGTGCCTTCAGGATTGTAGTGCAGCTTCTTGCCCCTACACCACCAGAGCTCCCTTGGATTCTTTCTTAAGGGGAAAAGTTAGGATAACTTCACTTTACATAAATCAAAAACATGCAGGCAGGCAGATAGAGACAGAAACACACACACACACTTTCACTCTCTCTCTCTCTCACTCTCACACACTCTCTCTCTGTCTCTCTCTTACTCTAACAGCTTCATTCCTGACCAACTCTGAGTGGTTCTTAGATGTTTAGAGAATAGTCATTTCTCTCAAGGCTTAGTGACCCGCTGCTATGGAGTCTATTCCAGCTAATGAAGATCCTTCACTGGACTTCTGAGGCTGTAAATTTTAACAAGTGGACACAGCCTCACCCTCCTCCCATGAAGAAGTTGCTAAGTTTGAACTTCTGACCTGTTGGTTAGCAGCACAGCACCTAATCTACTACACCACCACAGTGCCTTTTTTTCAAGATCAGCTTACCTTAAATAGATCTGCAACTATTCCATAATCTGCCACTTGGAAAATTGGAGCTTCTGGGTCTTTGTTAATGGCTACAATGGTCTGTGCAAGAAAATAAACAAAGAGAGTAGTCTTAATTATGAAATCTTACCACACTAGTTTTATTTTGACAAATATTTTTACAACAAATTAAAATTCTTTAAAACATCTATGGAATAAGATTTATCTGGTGTATCTGTGAAATAGTATAAATTTATTAGAAATTTCTGGGTGAGAATATTATGAAATATTGTGTATCCACTGTTGTTGTTCAGTACTATAGAGTCAGAACTGATCCATAGCGGACCCTCCTGAGAGTTTTCAGAGACCGTTAATCACATGGGAGGAGACTGCCCATCCTTCTCCCACAGAGCAGGTGATGGACTTGAACCATGTGCCTCCAGGATTGCAGCACAGGTTCTTGCTACTAGGCTACTAGAGTAATGGGTAATCATTACTAGTATTTATTTCCAAAACTTTTTCAACACCACAAACAGAAACACTCGACTCACTAGGTAATAACTTCTCTTTTCCCTTCCCCTAGTCCATATAGCGTCTAAATTCCTTTGTATCTAATTTAAATGGGCAGCAGATATTTGTACTTTTGTTGTTTGCCTTATTTCACTTAGCATAAATTTTCAAGATCGTGCAAGTCAACAGCTTATTTTAGATCTTCAGAATTCTTTTCATGGTTGAAGAATAAACTACTATATGTCTACACAGTATTTTGTTTATTCATTCAACTGTTGATAGACATTTGGTTTGTTTCCACCTTTTGACTTTTATAACTCATGAAACAATGAACACTAGTAGATGAACCTCCATTGGTCTATGAGCGGAGTTAGGTAGTCATATGATATTTCTAGAAGCTGCACTGCAATCCTGAAGGCAGCAGTTCAAGGCCACCAGCTGCTCCATGGAAGAAAGATGAACAGTCTCCTTCCATGCAATTAACTGTCTCTGAAAACTTACCAGGGGGTCAGCTGTAGGTCAGTTCTGACTCTTTGGTATACAACAACAACAACATGGTAATTGTATGTTTAACTACTTTAGAATCTGCCAAAATATTTTCCATATTCATGATTTTTTTTCTAAATTCTTTTTTTGGCTTATGAAAAAATCATTTTATTTTAGATAAAAAATGTAACAAAACCACAGTCTTTATACCTCAAGTTATTACTGTTTCCAAATATTCCAAATGACTTACTATTTTAAAATTACTCTTTGTCTAATCTGAGAATATAATATACAAGCTAGCCATCTAAAGCTAGCTTTAAAGAAAAATTTTAAAAGAAAAAATTTTAAGTGGTTATGTATACATGAATGCAAATAAACAAAAAAGTTTCTGTTTTCTCCTAGAAATTATTTTAATGTTAAAAGCATAGAAACCAGTTGATATCAGAAGTAGAAAAGTCACTCCAAAAATGTACTGTGTTGAGCACTCCTCTTAAACACCAGGATTATTTATATATTACAAATAGTTTGGCATTCCCTATAGATGTTCTAACATTCTTTCAATGAAAGTAAAATTAGCATTTTTACTCTAATGTGATATTATTTTAATGTTGTTATTTGCCATCCAGTCGGAAGTAACTCATAGCTGAGCCTATGGTTTTCCAAGACTTGAACAAGAGAAGAGAGTAAATTAATTATAATAAATACCTAGTAATAATTAAGATGTCTAGATGAAAAATTAACTTTCTACTTGCCTGTTCTGACATACCTGATACATGATCTGACACTGCTAATGTCAGATGGATCTTGGCCAAAGGCAAAAAAGTACCAGAGGAATGTCTATCTGTGTTTCATTGACTATGCAAAGGCATTTGACTGTGTGGATTACAACAAATTGTGGCTGACTCTGAGAAGAATGGGAATCCCAGAACACTTGATTGTGTTCATGCGAAACCTATACTCAGATCAGAAAGCAGTTGTCATAACAGCAAGGAAACACTGCACAGTTCAAAATCAGGAAAGGAGTACCTCAGGGATGTGTTCTGTCTCCACATCTTTTCAATCTATATGTAGAACAGATCATTCAAGAGGATGGACTTCATGAGTAGGAATGTAGCATTAGAACTGGAGAAAGATTCATCAACAACATACAATATACAGATGACACAAACCTTGCCTGCTGAAACTGAGGAGGACATGAAGCACTTACTGCAGAAGGTCTAGGACTCTAGTTTTCAATATGGATTGAAGTTCAACATCAAGAAAAGAAAGATTCTCACCACTGGGCTGATCAGCAACACCATGAAAGATGGAAAAGAGATTGAGGTTGTTAACTATTTCAGCTTGTTCAGCTCCACAATCAATACTCTCAGCACCAGCAACCAGGAAAACAAAAGACGAATTGTACTGGGAAAATCAGCTGTTAGGGACCACTCCAGAGTATTAGGGAGCAATGTAGTCAGTTGAGAGACCAAGGCATACCCAACCCATGCCATGGTCTTTGCAATTACTTGCTATGTATCAGAGAGCTAGACAATGACTAAGGATGACAGAAAAAGAATTGACACCTTTGAGTTGTGGTGCTGGAGAAGAGTATTAAACCTATTATGGATCACCAAGAAAACAAATAGGTCTGTCCTGGAGAGGGTGAAACCAACTTTCTCCCTGGAGGCAAGGATTTTGAAGCTCTATATCACATACTTTGGGTACTTGTTCAAAAGGGACCAGTCCTTGGAGAAGGACATCATGCTAGGAAGGGTAGAGGGGCAGTGCAGGAGAGGAGGACCCTCAATGAGATGGACTGACAACAGTTACTGGGGTAATGAGGGTAGGTGTGTCAGAGTCAGTGAAACAGGCTAAGGATAGGGTAGGCTTCAGAGCTATTGTACATAGGGTCGCTAGAAGTTGCAGGTGACTAAATGGCACATAACAACAACAACAACAACAACAACAACAACAACAACCTGCCTGTTACTGCTTCTTATAAAAATAGCTGAAACACATTTAAAAAGTATTTTGATTTATGTTGACTTAACATATAAATCACATGACAACTGTATGGTCCCAGAGGCAGAATATTCCAGAATATCTGAGACTAAAGAATATAACTGTCAATCCAGCAAACACTATTAAAACAGCCTCCTGCCTGGCTAGTGGTGGTGGTGTCGTCAGATGCTGTCAAGTCAAGTACAACCTATAGTGACCCTACGAACTACAAATCTGAACCCTGTGCCACACCAGAGCCTATTCCAGCACTCACTGTGTTAATCCACCTGGTTGAAGGTCTTAGAATAGCCCCTCCTAGCAACATGCCTGAAGTAAAGCTTTATCATCTTTGTCTCCAAAGAGCACTCTGGTTGTACTTTCTCATATCTGTTTGTTCTTTTGACAGTCGATGTTCAGTACTCTTTTCCAACACCAAAGCTCAAAGACATCAATTCTAGTATCAGAAATATATTTAATTAATGTTGGTTAATGATTTACCTGGAAGCCACCTAGTCAAACATAGGACAGGATAATTATCTGAAAGCATTTTCACTCCACTATATAATATATATAATAACTTTTATTTTTTAAATTTTCATTTTAAAAGTTAAATTTATATAACTTTTGGTAAGAAACCACTAAGGTATTTGTTTTTCAGATTAGTAAAATAATATTCCCGATTGTCAAGTGTAAATAATCATCTTAAACCTTGCTTATATCTTAGTGTTCTCCTAACACATTGCTATGGTTTATACTCTTCCTTATTACAGAGTTTTCAATTCCTGGATTGTATTTAATTTTATTAATATGTACATAGGGGATCTCTGGTGGTCCAGTTATAAAACTGTACTTTCAGCCTGAAGGCATGTCGGTTAGAAAGCACCAGTTGCTCTGTAGGAGAAAGATGGGTAATCAGGCAGTCTTTTCCTATGTAATTCGCTGCTCTGAAAACCCACTGGAGGGTCAGCTGTCAGCTATGAGTTGGTTCTGACTTGACAGTACATAAGAACAATAAATACATAGTTCAAAAATGCTTCCATTTACATTGACTCATTTGATATCATGATAATCAAATCTTGTGCTCTTTCCACTCTACTATGGTATTAATTAAAATGGCAGTTTATAAGGAATGCAACTATAAGATTTATTTAAATAATTTTATTTTCTAGCAACCCATTTTAGAATTTAATCAAAATAATAACTAAGATTACCTCATCTCCCACATAACATGGTGAGGGCAGAGGCAAAATGCTTTTTACTTAAGCATTTAAACATAGTACAAGGACTATGCTCGATAAATATGTACTGAATGATGGAGAGGCAAAGCTTCTTTTAATTTTGTGTCCCCCAATAAGGTGCTCCTTACTTCAACTGTCTCTTATCTGCTTTAACATATCTAGTCCTTTCCTCCTCAACCCATTGCTATTGACATGGAATAAAAATTCTCACCAAGATTTTCTTAGCTGACAGAATCTTCTATTTGAGAAAAGTAGAATTCTAGATGTCTAAACTGGTCTTGCTAAAAATATATTCTAAGGCTGTCCGTGTTAGAGTGGTGTTTCCCCCTTTAATGCAGCAATAACATTTTCCCCATTGGCACTGCTGTTTTCATAGTTCAGTAAAGAAACCTGCCATCCAACTGTGAAATCTGACTGGTTTTGGACCAGTTCATTTAGATGCTACAAGGAGGTAGTGCATGCATTTCTTCAAGTTAGAAGTTAAACCTGTTAAAAGTTTTATTACCTTTTATATCAAGCTTCCACCTGAATGGATGAATGCAGGAGTGACAGAGGCATCTCTGGCTTCATAAAAGACTCAGTTCATAATTCAAACTGCATACTCTTATGCATGAATTAATGTGTCATATTCGGTAATATATGTTCAGAGTCATTACACAAGACTTCCAGCTATAGTCCAAGGAGCACGTTAAAATCAAGTGTTTCTTCTAATTTTGACAACTACTGAGATGTTAGATAGCTTGATGTTCCAATTCAAAATGTATTGGCCATGTTTTGGTAACAACCCAAGAAGAGTGAACCTATTGATGTATGAGGAAGAGAGTGCCAGGGGACCAGAGTGAAGCAGACAAAGAGAGAGTCAGGAGCCAGATCTCAGGAACAAGTCAGAGGGTCAGAATTTCAAGGGTGTTTATGGTTCACATTTCTATCTACAGAGCTGAAAGGGATCTTAGAGATCATTTGAACACCTATATCAGGAATATGTAGAAAAACCTACATCAGGAAGGTGAAGAAACTGAGGTACAGACAGAATACATCACATTGTAAGCGTGGAAGTGAGACTTGGGTTCAGGTCTCTTTCTGTGACACAACACTACCTCTCTCCCCAGTGTAGTAAACAGGGGCTTCTCTATCTGTGTTAATGAAAATGGTCCAGTGGCACACTTTATAATCTCATGGAAACCACTCAATAAAATGAAATTTTTTTTAAATGAAAACTTCCTCTTAACCTTCACTATTTGAGCATATTTACCTTGCTGTCCTTCATCCCAGCTAAATGCTGGATTGCTCCAGATATTCCCACGGCAATATAGAGTTCCTTAAAAAAAAAAAAGTCATATTATTAATACGCATTTATATAATACCTTCCAAAACTACCAGCAAGTCAAATCTTAAAATGAGAATCACTTAAACTTTTTTTTAAAAAACGAGAGAACTAATATGTGTTACTTAAATTATATTTTTCCTCACGGTTTGTCCTTTGAAACAGCCATTTAGGATGTAAAAGAGAGAGAAGGGGGAAGAAAAGAAAACAAAAATATTCATTGATTAATTCTCGATTAGGAATTTTTATATTTGTGCTTAACAGAGACCTTATTAAAATATAAATATCAATTTTAATATTTTCTTTCACACTAAGAAAAAAATTCCATTTTTCTTAACCCTATCATCCCACTTAAACTTCTGGCAGTTCCCTGTTTATGTATTGTTCTAGCCAGCCATTTTTTTAACGATCTTCAGCACTTTCTTGCTTGCATGTGATATTAATGATATTGTTTGATAGCTTCCACATTCTTTTGGATCATCTTTCTTGGGAATGGGAAAAAGCAGTCTTCCAAATTTCCTGCCAGAGACTGTGAATGTATCCAGGGCATCTGTTAATTGAAACAAGTCAATCGGTATCCTACCAATTCCTGGGGACTTATTTTTTGCCAATCCCTTCAATGCAGCTTTTACTTCCTCCTCCATCACCACTGGCCCCTGCTCTTATGGTACTTTCTGAAATTTTTCAGTGTTAGCTCTTTTTGGTACAGTGACTCTGCATAATCCCTCTATCATATTTTCATGTTTTCTGGGTTATTCAATATATTGTCCATAGCATCTTTCAATATTGCGACTAGAGGCTTAAATCTGTTTTTCAGTTCTTTCAGCTTGAGAAATACAGACCAAGAACTCCTGCTTTATTTTCCAATTCCAGCTCTCTACACATTTTATTCCATTAGAATACTTTTCTTTATCTTCCTGAGCTGCCCTTTGAAATCTTTTATTTCAGTTCTTTTTACTGAAAATTACTGAGGAGTAATGATGTCAATTTGAGGACTCAGGTGCATCTAATCCAGGTCATGGTCTTTCTGCATCTGACAGATAGACAATGAGTAAGGATGATAGAAGAACTGGTGCATTTAAGCTATGGTGCTGGAGAAGAGCACTGAACATCCCATGTACTGTTAAAGAACAAAAATATGTCTTGGAGAAGATGCAGCCAGAGTACTCTCTGGAGGCAAAGATAGTAATATTTCACCTCATATACTTTGGGTATTTTGCTAAGAAAGGCTATTCGCTGGAAATGAACATTATGCTTGGAAAGGTTGGAGAGTTGACAAAGGTGAGGAAGAACCTCCACCAGATGAACTGACATGTGATTACCATGATGGGTTCTAATGTGTCAGGAAGAGTGAGGGTGCCAAAAGATAGGACAGGGTTTCAGATCTGTTGTTCATAGGGTCGCTGTCAGTCATACTTGATTCAAAAAGCTAACAACAACAATAACACATCCCAATCCACAGCTCTCTTTTTCCTCTGAATTCACTGTTGCTTAGAACTAATAAATGCACTGATAAACTACTGAGTGATTACTATGTGCCAGAAACTGTGCTAAGCTCTTTGTAGTAATTGTCTCACTTCAGCTCATAATTAAGTTTGAGATAGAAGTTTGTTCTGTGACATCCTTAAAGATCTTACTTTGAGGGGAGCTCTGGTGGCCTAGTGGCAAGAAGCTGCACTGCAATCCCAGAGGTGTGCAGTTTGAATCCACCAAATGCTTTGCTGGAAAAGGAGGGACAATCTTCTCCTGTACCAGTCAGATCTGATTTGATGGTACATGCACAAAAAATAATAAAATAAAACAAATTTTAAAAAAGCTATGACTTTGCATCTCGAACATATTATATACAACTATTTGGCTTAGAGATCATGTTTTAGAATGAGGAAGGTACAGTGCACAAAACAAAATGTTCAGTGGCTATATTTGGAACATTTCCAGTGTGTCAACTATGACCATACACAGCTGGACAGCATGATAAGGTTATGCCTTTACACTGTCTCCTCACACACGGACACTCACATCGACTAACAGGTATTTCTCTGAAAAGTCACTGCTACTTCCCCACCTCACCCCAGATTTATAAGTAATTTCAATAGTCTCTTAAAGTCATTTCAGCTTATTATAATGAACATTTCTTTCATGAAGATCCATTTATTCAATTGTTAAGATACATTTATTAAAACTCATGTTTAAGAAAATCAGAACCATAAATGACATAGCTGAGCCTCTACATCTTGTGGTTCCTAACCTCTACACTATAATAGACAAAGTGCTAATCTATAGGCCTTTTATTGTAAGAACCACCTTACCTCTGTAACTTGATTTGTGCCACTATTAGAACCTCTACTCAGAATATTATTGCTTTTCAATTTTTGACTCATGCACTTTTAACTTGTTAGTTAAATTTGTATCTTCTAGGCTGCAACACTTCCATGATACATCTTCAAGGATATGAACATGTATGGCTAAGCACAATTGATAACAGTGCATCTAAATTCCAAAATCAATCTCCATAATAGTCTATGTGTTTCCTACTGCCAAAGGGGCCCTTTAGAGTAGTGAGAGAAGACCTTTACCCTGAAACCCACAGTGTCCCTTTTCAGCAAGAAGTAGCTAAGAGAATACGCCATCCCCTTTTCCTTATGAATCGGGTGAAGTCTCTCTCAGGGAGGAGTGATAGGGAATGGGAAGGGACACACAGACAAAGGAGATTAATTAGAACTGGCTTTGACAAGCACTGTGGCAACTGGACAATTAAAACAGACATTTGGGGGAGGGGAGAAGAAGAACGAACTGGGGAGGAGGGTGGAGAAAACAGTGCAACAATGAATGAATGAAAACCCAAAATCTCTGTAAATGTTCATTAAAAATAATAAAATTTAATAATAATAATAAAAGAAAATCAGAAATCTCCAAGTTAGGTCAAATTCGAATGCTAAGATTTTTGAATCAAGTTATTCACAAGGACAGACAGAAACTATCTCACTAACTACTCTTCTAGGTACATTCTCAAAGCCATCATTGATTGGAAAGGATGAATAGCTCCATAAATGAGTCCTCTGACATATATGTCTACATTAAAATTCAACAAGTCTTAAAAGCCTCCCCTTTGCATCATAAAATGTTAATAAAACAGTGATTTACTCTGGCAGTAAACATCTACATAAACACAATATAAATGAAATTTACTCAAGCATCCCCATCTCTCACAAATGCATCTTGTGAACTTTAACTATAAATGCCACCAAAAAAGTAAGATTCTGGGTCAAACCCAATCAAAGGCAGGCTCTGGGGTTATTCCTGCATTTTCAACCAGCATGCATAGTTTGAATGGGACTACAAGACCAAGAGAACTTTATTTCACAGTCTTCCAAACATGAGTCTCTGAATTAATATAAAACTACAGAAACAATAGTTCAGACAGAGTCCAGCATTTTGGTCTGCAGCTCTGAGCCTCTGATTGCTAGCTCAGACAGGAAGAGAGGCTTTTCTTGTTTTTTAAAAAATACGTACAAGCAATTAAACTAATATCCTAGGAGACTTCCTGGAGGTTCTGAAAGCATTTTTGTATTTCAATAATAATAGTTAGCATGTGAAAACTCCCTACACTTGATAATTTATGGAACACTTTAGACATTGCTTCACAACAAAACAAGGCAATCCCTGCCCTGGAGCACTTTCCTCCTAAATCAGATAGTAAATAAGATTATTTGGAAAGAAAACAACAATGGTAGAGGGGAAAACATAATTAAGTGTGCCCATACAAGTTTGTTGGCGATGATAAGGATGGCAAAGACAGGGCAAGGGTTCAGGTGGGCTGCTCAGAGGGCCCCTATGAGTCATACTCAAGAGCATCTA